AGGTGCTTTGTCTCCCATACTGCCTAAGCAATGTTTTTATACTAATAAACAATAATATTAATATTATAACTGAAATAGCAGAATCATAGTCAGATTATATTCTATATATTACATGTTCACTTATTAGCATACACATAAATGAGAATAACGAAAATCATATTAAGGTTAGCGAATGTCAGTCTGAGGAATACAAATTATGTCTATTGCCAACCCAAGAGAGATATCTCAAACAAAAGAGAAGATCTCAAGAGTTTCTTTATAATAAAAACAAATATGAGGAGAATTAATGGAGAAAAGACTTTTATCGGAGATCTTTTATCTGATTTAATCAGAGAATGACTCATCATAGTCCCGAATGGGTTAAAATTCGATAAGCATGTACTGCCTCAGAATTCATTCTAAAAAATTTATCGAACTACACTGAAGTACTCCCAACACATGAAACACACTCACATAAATTCTAATTTTGTTCCACAAAACATACACCAAATTCGCCATTACTAAAATTTAGTTTGGTTTCGCTTCCGCAGAACATATAAAACTGAGTCAAGTTACAAATTTTTATCTGAACTTATTAGACAAACTTTTTAGACGGGTACGATTTCAATATTGAAATTGGCGAAGTTCTAAGCACGGACTCAAAACTATCTCTTTTTCAGCAGGCTTGCTCATGATACTATGCACGAACTAACCGTTGTTGGTTTTATCACAGGTTAAACATTTTAATATCTAACGACGAACGAACCAATATATGCGATGTTATTTGTTTTGTACCCCTGCGTCATAAGACAAGCAGAAAACGCCCAACTCAGTATGTACTTTATCATCTCGTGGTAAATGTAGAAATGAACCACAGTCTGAATTGCGCAATGGAATATAGAAGCAGTCATAGATTCCACTCACTGGTAAACTTTACATACAAAAATGTAAGGCTACTGGGCTTTCGTATTTGATATTATATATTATTATTTATCGCCTGATCCCCTGACATGTATGATCGTGGTGGACGTCGTTTTATCATACCATGCCCACTAACATCACCCAAGGTGTAGGAACTGAAATATCCCGGTCATTCCAATCTATTGTAACATTTTAGTAAATGCTGTTGGCAGTAAATGCTTGTGAAGCGCTTTGTTGGGAGTGAACTGCGTATGAAACGTCTTTTAGTATAACTGGTTACGTTGAAAAGACAAGTTAAAAATCTCGATTTTAGTTTGCGGCGTAGTGTTGCTAAATTGTTTATAGATTTGACAATTTTTAACACTTTGCCCACATATTTTAGATTTATTTCCTTTTTTTGATCAAATTTATAAAATATTTTGCTTTCTCACCTTTTTTCTCTTTTCGAATAAGCGACTATTCGAAACCAATGAATACTTTGGCAACGGCAAGAATTGTCGCGCAAATATCAATCATTCTACATAGCCGCGTACACATCAACTACAGTTTAAACATTCAAATAAATACGAATTTTGGATCTTTTGTACAACCCCCCCACCGAAAAAAACACCCCCGCCTGTGGTCAAAATAAGAAAATTAGTAATTATCCATTTCGGGTTAGGGTTAGGATTGCAGATTGCGCTGGAAATTCAAATTTTCAAATCATTCCTAACCCTTACCGATCCAGAATTTTAACAAAATATGAAAAAAAAGATTAATTTTAACTGGTGATAATAACACTGAGCGATATAGTGATAAATCCCACTAACAAATAGTTTTTCTTCCTAGCCACAACTTTAAGATGTTCTGTTGAATTAATACCAAAGCTACATCTACTCCAGTATGAAATACCTGCTGTCCTTATTTAGTTACAGTTGGTTTACGACGCAATAGCTCAAGTGCACTTGTCATAACTAAACATCACGATATTATCTTTCCTATAGTACTAAAATGAACGGGCCATAATGTATTATATATAGTTACATATACTCGGCGTCAAGTGGCATTTTAGAGAATGCACAGTAGCGATAGGAAATATATACAAGCACACGATATATTTATTACACATGGAGTCTCGGACTGACTATTGTGGCTACAAAGCTAGATATTTTTTCAAATTATTGCAAATCGACCCACCTAATTAAATTCAACTTTGAATTAAATTCTTGTGTTGCTTTGCATCGCATTCCTATTGTCAACTTACGGCTTGATGCGCAAAAATATTTCGGATATGACAAACGGTTGGTAATATTGATTTCACACATGGATAAGCTTTCTTGTAGTCAATGGTGGAATCAATGAAGCAGTTCACTAGCTATAGACAAATTCTTAATAGAAACGCGCAAGTATTTCATGCACGACGATTAATATTTGTATTGTTTTTGAGAAATTTAGTCATGGGGGAAATTAGTGAAGCAAATTTCAAAGAAAATGAGGTTTGTTTGCTGTTATTAACTACAAAAGGAAATATTTCTAATAGAGGAGTCAAAAATCACCACTTACTCGTTCAATTAAGTCATGCATGGGATTATCCCTGCCACAGATATGTCAGTACCTATATACCAAAATCTATAAAATTAGCCAGGTGAATCCACATTTCGAAACGAAAAAGCCAGTTTTCAAATTAATCGCTCTATGCGGAGGCGTTTATTATTGCAGGTGGAGCATATATTCAGACAATATATTTTAATGAGCACTACTGATACATATTTATTGAGGTGCTGAGACAAGCCAAACGAAAATCTTTTGAAACTGCTATATTAACCTTGCTGGCAACATCATTTTTATGGTAATGATGAATGGAATTTAATTTTTACCGAGTTTCACGTGTAGCTTTAGGGATTGTTCCCATGAAGCCCGAGAATGTGGAGATTGGAGGAAAAATTCTAAGAAGGCAAAATTTATTTTGATATATATATAAAGAGATTGAGATTGAATTTTGCCTTTGAAAACCAATGTCAAATTCTCTATAGGCCTTCTGAATATGACAGTTTCAAAGCGACTGGCTCAGTTGATTTCGAATATTTAGTGCGCGGTGCATTATTCGTCTGTCACGTAGCACACTATTCATACGAATTATGTTGTTCAACAATTAAAATCTTGAGTGATTAGATATGGGAGGTAATATTTAGGAGCTACTGAATGATTTGAATATGTTAAAAATAGGTTTTCATATCTGGATATTATAAAGAATAAATCAGTAAACGAGTCGAATTTTGCAATTCCTCTGGTAAGCATTGCCATTAATTTGATCGTTTGTATGCCAATGACGGTATGAACGACGGAAAAATTATTATTGGACAATGCGGCATTGCAATGACTGGAAATAATTTGCTACCTCAAATAATACAAAATGTTATGCCCCGTAAATTTGTATTACATTGATTTTTTTTCTCAAACTATTTCGTATTTTTTTTCTGCATGGTTAAAATAAATGCTTGATCGTGGATCGTGTTATCGTTCTATAATAGTCGATAACAATGGAACACACTGCTGCAACACACTCCGGAGAATTTGGCGAGTAGAGATTGGTGGAACATTAATTGGTACCAACGATGAAAATGCAAACCATTTTTTGAAAAGATAATTCAAAAGTCCCAATCATGTTTCTATAGTATAATCGGCAATAGCGATTGTCGAATTGAGGAGGAATTGATTCGAAAAATGAATAAGAATTTACCCAATGCACAGTTACCGAAGCCCACGTGAAAAAGAAGAGGCTCACTCAGAGCAAAGCTGTGAAATCCACTGAGATGTGAGGAGATCGAGCAAGAGCTGAAATCTATGAATTTGACATTGCCAACTGGAGCAAATTGCAGACGCCGCAATTCACAGACCGCACGTTTCGGTCGTTTCGACAAAACGAGATGTTTTTCAGGATGGAATTCATTGCTGCTTTTCGGATATATATAGATATATACATATCGTCTCCACGTGAACACCTAGTTGTGTCTTCAGAGTCCTTAGTACGTCTTCGGGTTACAGATGGGGTTCTGAAAGGGCGGTAATTGAAAAATTGGACCATACCTTATTTAGTTCATCATTGTGTCAAAGCCTCTTTCATATTCTGATGTGTTAAGTGCAAGTAAACGGCACTCTCTACAGGTTCGTCAATTTATTAAATATACCAATTTGTCACGAATTATATAACTTTCTGCTGTACCTATTGATTTGACCTAAGAAATTTTCCGGATGCTTGTTTGAGTATTGCGTATCAGGACATTGATCATTAATACGATTTCGTGGCTCAACAGCAAGTTCGATGCGGACTAGACATTATGGAATATAAAACTAAAAATCCGCAAACACAAGCATGTCGTGTTTGGACGGGTTGGGCTTACTAGTTTTGGTTCATCATTGTCTAATCATGCTAGGGGTTGAGAATTATATTGGCTGAAAAAAAAAAAGCTTTCACGAATCCATGTCATTGACAACTTCAGAAATATCTAATAAAACAAGGCCCTATACCAGGGGTCGGCAACCTACGGCCCGCGGAGCACTATAATCCGGCCCGCGACGCTTAACTAAATTATAGTAACAAGACATCCGTTTTGACGATCATTTTCTTTAGACTAAATTATATTACAACCTAACAATTATATAATTCACAATTACTCGTTTAATGAGCATATAATTTAATTATAATTAAGCAAATGGAAAACAAACGCAGAACAGTTGGTGCTAAGTACAAAGGGTTCAATGGCGCTGGAAATATTCAAATGAAATTTAATGAGATGCAATGAGGAAATAGATCTATATTCTATTCGAGAGATGTATCACTGTTTGATTTTTATTATAAAAAGCATCATCCGTTCGGTTTTTCAACTTTCTAAAAATATGTGCGGCCCACCAATGACTTGCAACCTTAATTTTGGCCCGCGAGCGACGAAAGGTTGCCGACCCCTGCCCTATACGAATTCCACCATCGTGAGGCCCTATATCTATCTATCGACTCCCGTCCATTTTCAACAGCGACTTCCATGACTGAGAAAGCGCCAACACCCCAGGGAGACTAACTGTCGACCTTCTGAATCAATGAATGACTCAGTCTTAGTCCAAAATTTTATAGGACACATCAGTTTATTCGAATACGAATTAGAATAACATTATTATGTACATTTTTATTACAATATCAATATACTTTTGACAATCGCTAATTCCAACTCAAAATCTTCATTTACTAATATATTGTTAACTCAAAGAATAATCACGGCTATATTATTCACTCAGATGAAAATACTAATGCTCTCGATTTGAGCTTAATGAAGGTGAATAGCACATTAAATTGCGAGCCAGTCAGCCATCTAATATCAATGCTGTGGCATGAGCTGTTAGTATATTAGCGATGAAGGCTCAATTTACCAACAGCGTGCCTTGGCAAAATGATATTCTGGCAAAAATGTGGACTGTTAGCAAGTAGAATCGGAATGAAAGTTATAAATATACAGTTTCACATGTCCATTACAAATACACATAACAAGAAATAAATAGATCATCGAAGATAGATCGTCACATCGCACACATATCAGGAAAATAAAGACTTCCAGAAACTCCGCATAAAATTTCATCACCAATAGTAGCTTCGATGCAAACCCCAGACTATTAATCGAAGATTATCATCAAATTTTCAAGTAATGGCAAATGTCAACAAAAGTCAGCTCAAAATCGTATCCTTTACAAGCCCGAAAGCTCAAATTTTATCCATTTTTTCATCAGGATGTCAAAATTACATTAGCGTGATTCATGTAAATATGGTAAGCAGCAAAAAAGATGCCAATGATAAGTTTTTAGAGCTGCAACTTGCATTAAATTTCTTTCAATACTTATATTTTTTGGAAACGGGTAGAATAAAAATAATATTTAACATATTTTGTTGAAAACAAGTCTATTTGCAAATCAGCTAAATGAAGACAACTTAATGGCTTGAATGTAATGACAAACAGAAAATGCGCATAATACACATAAATGGTTTAAATGATGGCGATCTACAACAGGACATTAATCAACACAATAACAGACTGAAGATAATTCCCCTAACTTTGACATTTAACCAGAGCAAAAAGAAATTTTTGTTTTTTTGATTGAAATAGAGAAGCAATAATATAGTCTTATATTTATATATATATTACGATCTCCAACTGCAACAATGAAATTTAATTACAGGAACGGCCCGAAATTTTCTAACAGAAGTATAATGTGAGAATGAGTTAATAATAATAATGTAACACCATTGGTTATTATGTTTATTAAAAACTTGAAGCGACACAGAACAACATTGAAATTAGAGTGATATAAGATTAATCTTACGGTCTTCATTTAAAAATGATTTTATAGTGCTACTGACAGTCAACTCTCAAATCTGGCCGGTAAAGAATTAGAGATATTATTGAGTATGAATAAACTACCGACAGTCCAAAACAGAAGCAAACAAAGACAGATAGATATATCAATAAAAACTATAATCTGGGAAATGCAGAATCAAATTATCCAAATATAAACAAGACAATGGATGGACATCTCTAATTCATGAAAGCTATTTCCCCTCAACAACACGATGGAATAAATGAATTTTAAAATCAGCAAAATCAAAGCACACTTTTATTTTATAATATTAGAATAATGAAATAGGCTCTATTATCATCCAATTTTCTCAGAAAGCTGCGTATCCACCAATATATTATGCAGTGGTGATGGTCAATGACGGAACGAACCTGCATTATATGTTGGTTTAGTAACTTTGAGAAAGCTGGAATAAAAATCAAAGACGATTTTGACTAATTTTTATTAGAGAGGGAATAGTACAGGCTTCACAAAAGGTGGCAAAGAAAACTAAATGACACATTTTGCTAAAACCCAGTTCATTTTCTGGTATTGGAATCCTGCAGTAAATATTTGTCGTAGTGCTTTTCAAAGTCGAAAAGCGATCGTTTTACGAAAAATTGAAGGTACGTAATTGCAGTGTTTTTCTAGCAGCATCCGCCTCCTTTTTGGTCAACTGGTTTGCTTGTTATATCAACTTTGTTGCCTTGACCTGAGTGAGAAACAATATCGCATTCATATTAATAAAGCTTTTACCAACCAGATGTTTGGTTTCCATTCTTAGCTCATAAATACATTTATAACTGTTCGCAAAGTTAGTGTTGAGGACAGATATATTTTGTACAATGACAAATGAAAAATATGAGAATCTAGAACAGGGTTGGGCAAGGGCCATGTAAGTGTGATGTAATAAGTTGCAGTTTATGAACAATATTTATAGTATGACGAGATCAAAAGTGGAAAACAATAAGCCTCGTGCCAAAACTAAATTCAAGCGCAATCTCAACAAATTCCAGGTACCAGTATTTAACTGAAAAATCAAAATTTAGTTTGAGTTCGGCTGTGGCAGCATCAGGCGGGCCAGATTAAATTACCCAAAGGGCCGGATTTGGCCAGCGGGTCGTAGTTTGCCCATGTCAAGTTCAGAATCATTTTAAAAACTGCAGTATTACATGTCAAAGGCCTGAACAATGTGAGCACAGCATTAAATGCATTATCTAACATGTTTATCACATAGAGGAAAAAATTTGATATCTCAGAGATGATAGCCTGAAAGTCGCAATAATGCTAGACTAAACATTTAGTAAAGATGTAATATAATACCATTATAATTAGAATAATAATTGTTCGTTTATGGTTCTTCACAAATATTCTCTAATTTCCTGCTCAGCTCACAAATCAAGAAACCATTAACAAAAAATGTTCAATATATATTAAGAATTGCTGACTGTGAGCAGCACGATATACAAGTGCTATTCTCTATTTGCACTTGCAATTTTTTTTTGAGTGATGCAGTCAACTGTGAAATCAAATATAAATAGCCTAGGGGTACAATGAGCGACTCATCACATCCGACAGAGTCCAGACCTATATTGATGAGTCGAGACAGTATAAAAACACCATCTTATTTTGGGACATTGAAAGTACCAAAATTATTTAAAAAACCTTCGAAGGTTTCATATAGATTCTTTCAAACAACTTGATAACCTCGATAAAGGAATCGCACGGATGTTATAATTTAAAATTTCTTGCCTGGTGATGTCGCAGTTCCTGGTCCCATTCTGTTTTTAATCTCCGCAGCCATGGTCATGAACGCTTGTTCGACGTTAGTCGCATTTTTAGCGCTCGTTTCCAAGAACGGAACTTTCAAACTGTCTGCATATTCCTAAATATAGGTGAACAAGGGTTAGAAATATATTATTCCAAAAACAATGAGCGGTGGATAAGTAATGTATATGCATTGCATATGAAACCCTTATTAAATTGTTCTGAAAACAGAATCAAAAGATGGATATCACATTCAAAAGATATATTTCGGGCTCACGCTACTCACGCTCAAAGAATAAATATCAGGAAATACTTTCTTACGTAGACAAAACAGCCCCTTCTCACACTCTAAGATATATTTCAGAGAATACTTTCTCACCTAGACAAAACAGCCCCTACTCACACTCAAAGATGTATTTCAGGGAATACTTTCTCACCTAGACAAAACAACTCCTACTCACTCTCAAAGGTGTATTTCAGAGAATACTTTCTTGCCTAGACAAAACAACTCCTACTCACTCTCAAAGGTGTATTTCAGAGAATACTTTCTTGCCTAGACAAAACAACTCCTACTCACTCTCAAAGGTGTATTTCAGAGAATACTTTCTTGCCTAGACAAAACAACTCCTACTCACTCTCAAAGGTGTATTTCAGAGAATACTTTCTTGCCTAGACAAAACAACTCCTACTCACTCTCAAAGGTGTATTTCAGAGAATACTTTCTTGCCTAGACAAAACAACTCCTACTCACACTCGGAGATATATTTCAGAGATTACGGCCTTACCTAGACAAAACAGCCTCTACTCACACTCAAAAGATATATTTCAGGGATTACTGCCTTACCTAGACAAAACAGCTCCTACTCACACTCGGAGATATATTTCAGGGATTACGGCCTTACCTAGACAAAACAGCCTCTACTCACACTCAAAGATATATTTCAGGGAATACTTTCTCACCTAGACAAAACAACTCCTACTCACACTCGGAGATATATTTCAGGGATTACGGCCTTACCTAGACAAAACAGCCTCTACTCACACTCAAAGATGTATTTCAGAGAATACTTTCTTGCCTAGACAAAACAACTCCTACTCACACTCGGAGATATATTTCAGGGATTACGGCCTTACCTAGACAAAACAGCCTCTACTCACACTCAAAGATATATTTCAGGGAATACTTTCTCACCTAGACAAAACAGCCTCTACTCACACTCAAAGATATATTTTAGGGAATACTTTCTCACCTAGACAAAACAGCCTCTACTCACAATCAAAGATATATTGCATGGAATACTTTCTCACCTAGACAAAACAGCCCCTACTCAAACTCAAAGATATATTTCACGGAATACTGCCTTACCTAGACAAAACAGCCCCTACTCTGGCTACTCACACTCAAAGATATATTTCACAGAATACTGCCTTACCTAGACAAAACAGCCCCTACTCACACTCAAAGATATATTTCACGGAATACTGCCTTAGCTAGACAAAACAGCCTTTACTCACATTCAAAGACATACTTCAGTGATAAGGGAAACCATACCTATATTGATTATATTGAAACGATTCACAATTTCAAATATTACTTAAAGTCGAATGAAATAATTTTGTGTCACATTGAATATTCATAATAATACCCACATTCTCAAAATTTGAGACCTAAGGCTGCAATATCCAAAGACATCCATATAATGTGGTTTTGTTAAGCAAGCGCCATTTCAGCAAATTTATTGATGCTAGGCACTCAGTAGACAGCTTACATTGTTTGTACACCAAGTGGTGATCCATATTCATACTAATGTAACAATAAACTGTTATGCAATGTCGAACTACCAGGTTTCATTTAATTCATTATGGATGTCATAGTTTCAAAAAATCAAAAAATGGACTCCTTTTTTAGATGTCTGGCTTATCAGCTAGAAATATTAGAGTACATGCATATCATTATCTTCAGACCACTACTTCCAGCCAGCATACTAGGTTTTTACTTATAAATATGCATCTTAAAATAAACAGTCTTGATTAATTAATCAACATAGCGGATATAAAAATAATGAAATGTTAGAAAACATCATTGTCCCAAATTCTGAAGATATTTCGTCATTCAAATTCCATTTAACTCCAAATTAATGCGGGGAGATTGTAACAATATATGAGAAGAATACCGAAAATTTTTGAAATTGAAAGAGAAACTTAAAAATAAATGTCAACAAACCTTAGCTGTTGTGTAATCGACAACTTTCTTCGTTGTTAAATCACATTTGTTTCCTACAAGTAACTTGTTCACGTTTTCACTTGCATAACGATCGATTTCTTGAAGCCACTGCTTAACATTGGTGAATGACTCCTGCAATGATAAGGCTGGATTAGCACAACATCTACCTTCAACATAGCAACCAGCAAAGTGGAAATATGTGGATTTACGACACCTCACTGCCAAATCGATTATTTTCAATATTCAACGAGTACTGTCTCATCCAGACGACTCACATCATGTTTTAATTATACCTTTTACAAGATTAAATTATTAATGCAGAATATTGAAGACAAAATATACAGGCACAAATTCTGCCAGTTGTGCAAAATAAATATCAATAAATAAAATATCATTGTTCAATCTTCAGTAACTCAATATTAATTTAGTGTATATTATACCTGATCAGTGACATCATATACAACAATAATACCATGAGCTCCTCTGTAATAACTTGATGTGATTGTACGGAACCTTTCCTGTCCTGCAGTATCCCACTAAAAATGAATCATAAGGTAATTAGTTGAATAAGAAGATCATATAAAGAGCTAAGTCATAAAGTAATATTTAGCCACTTTTACTGCCAATTTGACAGATGTGTGTCATGTGCATGGGAGCACTAAGGGAGATCAGAATCATGTGATCGATTCATTACTATTGATTAATTTGAAACTTCAAGTGAGAGTAAAGAAAATCAATCCAAAATCTAATTTCATGATTGATCACAGAGGAAGGTTCAATTGAAAGAATGAGAATGTACACTATTATGCTGAATGCTTAAAAGCTCTTCCGAAATGAAGATAATAAACCCAAAAACCAGACAAAACTAGTCTGCATATCAGATACAGATCTCCTTGCTGTCCTATTTTAAAGCATCTTTGCAGTATCAGCAAAGATCGGCACTCAAAACTAGAATAAGAAGCCATGTTGGACAAAGCCAACAAACACAATATCCCAAATAGTGATTTGGTCATTTCATTCATTCAATTTTTATTCCTTTTATTATCGTTTTTTTCGTTTTTATAAACAATGTTATGGCCTTATTTTGAGCAAACTTCTGTCCTTCCTTGCATATTCATATTTTATTCATATATATTATTCTTCATGTCAAGAAAGAAAATTTAGATGCGTTTGAGTAATAAATCCCGATTGAACTAAGAATATGCAATAATATATTGAATTGTGATTGGTATGATAGCCTGAAAACTGGGTACCTATCGATCTATCTGATATTCAGAATTCACATTCAAAAAGAATAGCTGATGCAATGAACAATGCAAGAGATCGAAATTGTACAAATTATATTGAGAAATTTAGTCATCATTCAATGAAAAAATAACACCTACTCAGTATTCTAAAACAATAATTCCACATCGTTGTGGATACCAAGCATGGCTGGTTCAGAAGTAAAAATACCGGTAATCAAAACTCAATTGCGAAACTGCTTGAAAATTATTTATAATAAAAGTTGCATTGTGTATCAGTTATCACGATAGATAAAAAGTAAATATGCAGACTTACAATTTGAAGTTTTATTGTTTTTCCATCAAGTTCAATGGTTCGAATTTTGAAATCAACACCAATGGTACTGATGTAACTTTCCGTATATGTATCATCCTGTAAACCAAAAGAGAAAATATTCAGCATATTTTATATTATGCGCTGTTTTACTTTTTAAATATCCACAATACATACAAAGGATGCCTATAGTTTTATCACTTCAAAATCTTACAATAGAAGCATGTTATCACATTCCAGAGAATACATAAATGTAAATTTATATTCTATTGAAAGTTGAAACATTAGACACAATAATCCTCAACAACTGTGAAATGACAAAAAAATCATTCATACTATGGGCAGGTTAGAATTAGCATTAGAAAGCATTTTTGGCAGAAGCAAAAAAAATAAAGTCAGTCCATGTGGAATGAAAAATCCCACATTCAAACCTGAACAACTGTAGGATTAATGAAAATCGAATAAACTATCAGAACCAGCAAGTTTCAGTTTAAGAGAATAATAACACTAAACCCAGAACATTGAATTTATGAAGGCATAACATTTGTAAACCAGACGCAGTCCGGAGTGATTTAAACAATTTTGAATCGTACAAAAATTAGATAAAATTGACTACCTAATAAAAACTAGAAGGTGCTAATATAGCGTAAGATCTGCATCAAACTAGTATTATAGTGTGAGAACTACCACTCCATTCGACATCCATAATAAGCATCAGTTATTTCTTAACATTTAATCAAGCAATGTACACTTAATTTGTACATATCCAGGGAATGACTTCAATAGATAATTGAAAAAATTATAATTACAACATGAGTAGGCAACATATGGTGAAAGATCGCAGACTATAGTAGCACCAAATAGATTCTGAACATCATTTACATAAATGGCAGAAATACCAAAACTATTCCACTATCAGACATTCCTAATGCATCATCAATTCATCCAATATGATGACATATCAAAAATGTGCTATTTATGCACACTTACATACTAGCAATGATATGATACTTACAGCAAATCTTAGGAGAAGACAAGACTTTCCGACACCAGAGTCACCAATTAAAAGAAGTTTGAACAAGTAGTCACTGTAAAAAAGTAAAGTGTTTCGGGTCATGTAATGCTAGCCAATGTCTCTTCATTGCTACAGTAATTAATGCAGTATGTAAAAATTGGATTGATTTTTACTGATTGGCAAGGCAATCAATTGTAAACAGCAAAAAAGTTATTAGAAACTAATTTCTAGAAGAGAAATAACACCTACTATATTGCATATCAGATTATATGACAGAGATTTCAGTACCTCAGACCAATTTTTTCATGGAAAATCGTGGAGACATACTGTAATTGCCATAATAGTTATTATATATTGTTGAAAAATGGCACTGTTTATAGTTTTTGATTATTAAAATCACAATACTCTGAAGAAAAAGGTCCCTGTACATATGCTCTCTCTGATACATACAGATAATAACTAAGTCTTGATGAGTACAAGATATTTGGCAAGAAAACTAAAAAAAATTAAATGCCATAGAAATATCAAGATTTTAAAAGTTAACCATCATTACAATTTGCTCTTTATAGCCCAAATCATACAATATGAAAGGTCTGGCTCACTTTGATACTATTCAGACCTAACCACTAATAAGATTTAACAGAGCACGATCCGCCATATTTCAATGATTCCCAGAGTGGGGGGAAAGTTGACCAGACTTGTATGGTCTGTCTGACCAGACATAAATTGGCAAGAGAAAAATGTTGAGGAGTAACATAAAAATATTAGTAATATTCACTACTATTTATATATGCATATTGATATTATAAAAATACTCACTACTCTGGATTCATTGTTGTTTGTATAGGTTTTCTAAACTTCTTCAAATATTATCAATTATAAATAAGCCTATTATAATTATATATATTATTTCTGTTTCAAATAAAATCTAACGGATAAAAAATGACGACTCAAACATGAAATGGCCAAGAAATACAAAAATTGTATATTGTATAATGATGTATGTTGAAAATAAAAAAGTCAAAATAGACAATTTCTGACAAAAAGCTGAAAGTCGAAAAGTGAGAAATGATGAAAGCTTTAAAAATAGTAATTGTTTTTTGCAATAAATAATACCTGGCAAGAAAACATTTTCAAATATTATTGAAATTAAGACCAGTTATGCCCAATCAAAATCTCATTGTGAATGAATAGTTCATTTTAATATGAAATATTAATCAAATTAGAATTGAAATCATTTTATAAAACAAATATCGGAAAACTATCAAGAAATATAGAACAGAATTGCTGTGTTCATGTATAGTATAGCCCTATATACTTTATACCAGCAGTTCTTAATCTGGGGTGAATTTCTCCGTTTTAATAAGGGGTGAAAAAATCCAAAAAACTATAAAATTGAATCTAAATCCAACTTGACATTGAATCTGATATTCGCTGTGCATTATCTACTACGCCATCTGCCATGGAAAAGATAGTCGCCAACAAACAAAGGCAACCGTAACATTAAATGAATATAATAAAGTAATGCTAATTTTGTGTTTCAGTAAACAAGCAAAATCAAGTGCATTAGGGGTGATAAAAGGGTAAAAAGTGCAAAATGGTCGAGAACCAATGGTCTATACCAGTGATTTTTCAACCGCTGCTCTTAGAGAAGCATTCGGCTCTCAGCTATTCTTCCTGCGGCTCTCATTATCCTTTAAAAATTACGGTAATCCTTTTCAGCGAAAATTTTATCCAAATTATTCTATGACTTAAATTGAGGACTGAATGAAGGACTGAATGAACTGCATGAGTGAGTTGATGTCATTGTACCTGTTAGAACGTTTTGAGTGCAACTTTTCAGTATGATGTCATAGTATTTCCTCACAACGTTTAGCCTATGTTTTAGTAGCAGTACTCTGATTTCATTGTTTCCAGTTTTCACAAGCGGGCTATCTCGTACATTGCGCAAAGTTTAGATATTTTCGAGCAAAATATTAATTTGTTAGTTTGCCAAGACAAAATATCAAGCACTACTTCAAAAATATTCGTACTCTTTATGAATATTATTGGGCGTTTTAATGTGATAGTAAAGAGAAGTATTTTAAATTAAAATATATATCCTTCTCAAAATATGAAGCTAGCTATTTATTTTAAAGGCCATTGTTATATAAATCTTGGAGAATGTATCCCTCACTCACCAATGCAGCTCGCTTTTTCAGACTTTAGACTTAAAAGTCAATGCCAATGTAAAGTTTAGCGCTGTATTGGTTTTTACCCCAAGTTCTTTTTTATGTTGTTTTAAATTGAGTTTTGTTGCTGTTTTAATTTGCTTTGTTTTTATGACTCGTTAAAACTTGGTTTTGAAATTTGGATCTGACAATAAAAAAGGTAATCTCTGTTCTATAACTGTCATATTAATATCATGCCAAAGTTCTTGCCACTACTTACACAACCATCATCCCAACTTGGCGAGAATAAATATCAAGGATGTCAACCCATTCATACTTTCCCAAGTTTTGCTATTACCATAGTGCTTCAATCTGCCATTGCTTGTGAGTTTTTCTTTTAGCTAATAGCTCAATATGTTATTGCTACTTGGTGGTTATAAATGTTGTGGCAGCACTATTTCACCGCAAAAGGAGACTTTTACTATGCCAGAAGCCTACACGTAACCATATGTTAACCCTTTCCGTGCGGTGGGCACGTATACGTACCCACGACAAAAGTCGCTAGATTGCGGCAGGTACGTTGATGTACTCCACTGTTTTATTCAGCAATCGGTCGCAAACTGTTGGTCTAGTTTTTCCGGGATTTAGTTTATTGATAAGAAGTCTTCTTCGAGATTAACATAAGCGACGATAAATCTCGCTTTCGTTTACGACGGGAATTTTATTTGCGGCGGATCGAGGAAGTGTTTTTGAAATTTATGCAAATTTCGGTGTTTTTTGAGTGGTGATAGAAGACATATTATCCATTCCATCTACCAAAGTATTTTGAGTTATATTACGAAATTGCTACAGCAATATTATGCTATTGTTTGCCAACCACGAAGCGGTAACAGTAAAGGATTTAGCGAATATTTCTATTTTTTATCACGGTTTGAAGTTTCAACTCCCAAGAAAAAAACATGCTTTTTTTCTATCCGGTTTGTGACTCAGACCACCACTTTCTAAAAAACTTTTTTTTTTAATCGCCAATTGCAAGCTTTCCAACGAGCCGTCAGTGGGCAGCAGAGGATCATTAGTTTTACTTTAGTCGATCGATTAGTTGTGGGGGTACAAATGCATAAAATCAGCGTAGCAAATACGATTATTTATTAAAAATAAAAATCGCATGGAAAGGGTTAACAGACATACCACAATACTTTTCAGATTTCCTGAAAATTTATTTTCTATTCGCAATTACTTAGAACTTCAAACAACTTATAAAAACAGAATTAAAAAGTATGACTGACAATATTGGGCATTGAGCTGCTATTTGCAATGTTACAAACATGGCAAAACAAGAAACAAGCGCTAAAGGAGAATGCACTGTAAAACTTGTCACTGTCATAATTTAGTTTGGGAAGTCGAATTCTACTATTCAAGAAAGATGTGTTTGAAAAGCTTGGGAACCTCAAAAAAACAAAACAAAATTGAGAAAGAACAAGATTCAGGATCCACTCATGATCAAGAAATTGATTTGTTTGATTGCGCATATTTGAACTAAATCAGATTCAAGTAAAATATTATGTTCCAAATACCAATATATTAGCATGATTCAATGTCAGAATATCTGAATATAGCTGTATAGTGATAGTCCAGCCAATAATTAAATAGCCTACAACATTTCCTTGGAGTTAATGGATTTATTGTTTAAGAAAACACACAAATAATTGTGAAAAATTAATATATTTATTACTTGATGAAAAACCTGACAAATGAATAAGATTCGACTTGACAATGTTGACATGTTTAGTGGGAGAAATATAAAGTTAAATAGCCTACTGACAAAATTGAATTGGGCTCATGATTTTGAGACAAATATATTGATATAGCCTACTTATTCTACTGTTTTAGAGAATTGATTTCGAATAAATGCTGAAATGTGCAATCTACATTTGTAATTACTTTTTTGGACTTATCAATAAAACAGGAATTTTAATTTCTTCCAAGCGATTCCGCGATCGAATATCAGGCTTACAGGTACAGTAATGGCAGAATGGTAAGTTACCGTACTGAATACTGGAATATGATTTTGGGGAAATTGATGATAAAATATTTTGTTTTGCCCTACTTGTACATATCTTATATTAAATGTATTGATCATCAACCATGCGAACTGAGTGAGTTGCGGGCCACACTAACACGATGATTGATTAAAATTCTATCAGTCTATACTACCATACTGTCAGACTGTACTAGGGTACTGTACTAAGGCGGAGACCGCAAACCATCATCATGCGAGCCGTAATTAGCCGTCGGGCCACGAGTTTGAGACCCCCGCAATAAATGATCAGGTAATACCGGTACTGTGATATCTGCTATGATACTGGTATCAGGATACTGGGATACACTGATACAAGATTTCGTTTAGAAAACTTCAATGGCTGAATAAAAAGAAAAACAGACAAGACAGCAAGAGCGGTAAATTATTTGGTGTAGTATAACTACCAGTCTTGGCTGTTAGAGAGATGTTAATGTTTACTCTGAATCTGCCCTGCTGTATGGTACCATATGTCTCACAAAGCAACGGAATTCAGAATTTAAACTAAGGTAAGGAACTAGCCTGTCTGCGTGTTTAAATCTGAACACCGGACTGCGACTGTTTTCCTAACTCTCTGCTGATAAAATCGTGTCGATATCAATATATTGAGATGCCATAGGAATAAATAAAGACTGACTTCATATAAATACAAATGAAACATACAGCATACGCCATTCTGCCATTCTGCCATTCTCCAAACCAAGGGTTAGTTTCGCAACAACAAGGACGAGTCCTAGCAAAAGGAAACGGGTCTTTCTTCTCACAGAATCACACCGTAATGACGTCATTAAAAAGACGTGGCATGAAAAGAATAAAAACAAGATCATATTATATGTCTTGGACATTAATTTTAATTTCTACAAAAATTTAACTAATATTTGCAATAAATATCCCAAAGTTTCAATGGTTTTATATGTAAGTCAACAAAGAGAGACAAATTTTTTATACGAAATTGGACTTTGGATTAACGCATGGTGTCGCATGGGTGCATCGATCATCGTTAAAAACTGCGGTCTGCGACCAAGCAGAGTTACTGTTCGTAACGGTCATGTGAGTATAAATTGGACTTGGGGTTATGAATTTGGTGAAGCCACAATTCATTTGAAAAATTATGCTTTCCATGCGGACTCTAGGTTTTATGTGGAAAAAACAGCAAATCGAGTGGTTTTAATTTATTGGTGTTACATACCGGTACAAATATTTCCTGAGGAAATCAGGAGGTTACGGTAGTTGCATATTGGCGAGGGTTTTCATTTTCTAGCCGTTCAATTTGATCCGGATTAGGGCTTTGCAAGATGGTATTCAATCAATTATTTATTTTTGCTTCCCTGCCATAAAATATGACGACACTCAACACACAAAAAAATAGTCAATAGGTATCTCAAGGTAATATTTACATACTGAAACTATCGTACACACCATGTGGGCCAGTATATTCCCCTGCTTTTCATTATTATTTTATTTTTTGAGGAAGGGGGGGGGAGACAAATTTGTGAGGTGATATATTGTTATAAATGATAAAACTATTCGTAACTTATAAAATTCATTTGACTGATCATCTTCACCAGCATATAAGCATAATATCCACTTTCTGGATATTCACATATATATTTTATTTAAAATTAAGACTAAGAGGAAATCACTAATATGGGTACTGTCCGTGATTCCGTGCCTATCGCATAAGCCTACATCAGGGGTTACAAAACCACGACCCGCAGGCCA